CACAAGGCATTCCGCACATACTTGGCCCAATCTTTGTAGTTCTCTCCCCTCAGTTGCACTGTTGTGATCAAGCTCCATGGTCCATCCGACGGATGCAAATAGAAAGGCGACAAAGTTGCCTTATCCACCGCTACAATCGCACCATCGTCACCAGATTTCTTCATGCCTTCTGCGCTCTTCTCAGCGTTCTTGTTTCCACCCATCTTCAAGTTTCAATCTCGCAGCTCTCTCTCTCTCTCTCTCTCTCTCTCTCTCTCTCTCTCTCTCTCTCTCTCTCTCTCTCTCTCTCTCTCTCTCTCTCTCTCTCTCTCTCTCTCTCTCTCTCTCTCTCTCTCTCTCTCTCTCTCTCTCTCTCTCATTTTTTTAGGTTTAGGTTTAGGATCGCTCTGATACCATGTCAAAGAGAGAATAGAATGTTGTACCATATTATTCCATACGAATGATAATATATACATGTATAACTCTTAGGTTATCCCTAGATTGAAAGGAAAGTTACAATAATACAATATACTCTTTGATATTTACACTAGAGTCCTCAATAATATTCTATTCAACTAAGGAAAATTCTCTCAAACGATTTATTTGTTGAAGAAAAATTTTCTCACAATCAGTCGAGTTATTTATTGAAGAACAATTCATGCATAGAAGGGAGTTGGTGTTGGAGGATTCCGGTTTCACCACAAAGCAATCTACACTCGACCTGCCCAATCTTCAGTTCTTCAAGTCCTCTGGAAAAGTTTATTACTTTGATTTCTTGAAAGTGACTAGGATAATGGAAGAAGCATTCTTGTATTTCGGTGCAGAGACGGAAGAACATGATGAAGCGACCGGAACGGCTCTCTCCGGTCTCCTTAATGGTCTTGTATCGGTTAAGAAGCTAACGGCCTGTCCTTTCCTCATCAAGATGATAAAGACAGCGAAGATCTGGTTCGATTACGAGCACCTATGGAAACAATACATTTGGTGATCAAGACGAATCTTGTAACGGATGAGTTCATTGGGACTAGACTCATGATCAATAGCTGTCCAAATGCTTTCTCCCTTACCTGAACCAACGACCAATCTTGGATTCTATATGGAAACGTATTGGACGTATGAACTTAGCTATGAGTGTCTCTGATATATCATGGTTTTTATGGTTTTAAACCATGGTATAAGTCTTATTTATAGAGTCTTTCTAGTGTTTTTCGAGTCTTTTGGAGTCTTTACAGGTCATAGGTACGTTTGGAGCTTAACTGGAGATTTTGGAGCAGTTTGGAGCTTAATCAGGATCAAATTCTTCAAGTATGGATTTTGTGCTTTAGTGTCGCTCGACACCATGGAGAGTGACGCTCGACACTTGTCAGAAAAATAAGGAAAAGGCGATTTTGTTTCCTATTTGAAGAAGGAGTTGGGCCCAAACGTTTTCAAAGAAGCCCAAGACGTGTCTTAGAGATATATATAGGATTTTTATTCCCTTTTTACGAGGACCTTAGATTTTTGAGAGAGAGATACTCTGAGTTTTCGGCTTTTGCGATTTCTGAGCTTGGGGAGACAAGTCTGAACTCTGTTCGTTTAGAGAGAAGATTTCGAACCCCTTTATCTATTTCGATTTAAGCTATTGCTTTCTATTCATCATGTTTGTTGTTTCAATAACCATTTCTGAGTAGATCACCTGTTAGGTTTAGGGTTTAATTAGAGTTTTCTCTGAATGTTTGATTAACTTGCTAGTTAGGGTTCATATCTATTTGTTCTTCACCTTAGGTTGTTCTTAAAGCTAATTCTGGATTGATCACCTAGAACTTAGATCTTAGGTTGCTTAATTGACACGGAAGTGTAATTGAATAACTGGAAAGAACCTAGGTTGAGCAAAGTAGCTATTCGCAAAGGAATTTGGTTTAGTTGCTTTGTGAACATATCGAACTTGTGCATTAAGGCTGGTTTAAATCTGTAGGATTTGCAAAGGAATTTGGAATTCTAGGATTTTAACTTAGATAATTCTCACAACGGAAGTTGGTTAATTATAATTCTGTGTTTCGAGTTCAAGAACCGAGCTTTGAACCCTGATTAGTTAAGTTGATTTGCATTCATCGATCTCCTGAAAATCACCCTAGACCTAATCCTTATCACATCGAATTTACAAACCGTTTTCATTGCTGCTTTATTTATTTCTGTCGCATTGCTATTTGTTTCGCATACTTCAGCTTAGCGTAACTCCATCTACTCAAGGTTTATTGAGTGATCTCTTGTCTCTGTGGTTCGACCCCTAGATACTACAACTGCACATCTGTGCTCTTGCAGAGTAGCTTAGGGATTAAACTTTGAGCAGATCAGTCTCAAGAAGACCTTAAAGGTTTGTTGAAGTGAGGAACTTCACTGGAGGCATGCACGAGGAAATGGAGTAGCAACAAAAGTCAAAAGAGATGAAGAGAAAAAAAAAATCAAAATGAACAAAACCTAACTAAATCAAATTTTCCTCAAAAAGCAACCAAACAAACTTTTAAGTTGTAACATACCGATAAATTTAAACCGTAGACAGTAAAAGTATTGCGATCTATTACTATTGGACCAATTAATACAGCCAAATGGCTCATTAAAAATTGCTAAGTTTGAAAAGAAATGAAGCCCAATGGCTCATTAATATGTGAGGACAGGACATATCAAAAGTCTCACATTGCTAGTTTGAGAAAAGTTGGAGTGATATAAATATAAACATAACTAAGTCTTATATCAAAAATGTGAAAGAGAACCAAAGGACCCATGTGCGTGCCGTTGCTGAGCCGAGCTCGGACTCCGGTCCGAGGTTTTGGATTTTGGAAGATGTTCTTTTTGGGCCAAGTTTTGGCTAACATTTCTGATCCAGAACATAACATTTTTCTGTCCAGATTCGATGAACTAACAACGACTTAAATCAGTCAACATTCAATCTCTGGAATCTGGCCAATTGAATTGACTGACTTGAATGAGTCAACAGTCAATGGTCAATGGCTAAAATCTTGCCCAATTAACACGCCAATTAATTGTGGTTTCCTATCCAAGCTCTCCTCTCACAAGCTATATATACGAGCCTCTCCACACTCATTTCTCTGATCCATTCTCACATCTCTCTCACACAACCTTCAATCTCTCACTTGCTTTTGTTTTATTTACAAAATAAGTCCGAGAGTATATAGTAGAACGATCAGTTTGATCATTCTATAATGAGTGCTGCGATTATAAAATAATAAGTGGTTATATCCTGGGATTCATTATCTCTACCAACCGCCACACTGCATGAGATATTTTGAATTAAGAAAATATATTATCTCACCTCCTTCTCGGTTTTTCTTTCCTTAATCCGATATTTTAAAATCGTTTTCATTTCATAAAAAAATTGATTTATTATATTACAATATTCGTCTCCATTTATTATATTCCTACAGTCTTAATTCAAAATATCTTAAGACGGTTAAAGCAGTGGAAGTTTCACCAGATTTTACCAAATTAATGAGCAGCAGCCAACGCCGATATATAGAATCAGATATCAATGTTACTCCCCCTTCAAGTCTCAATCCGTTTTTTGTAAGAGTAAAAACTAATATAGAGAGCTAAAGTTGCTCTCTTCTTTCTGACTACTAATTTTTTTTTTAATGTTTTAGCTTTGTGGTTGATACCTGTATATTTTACCGTAACGATCCTACTTGGTTTTCAGCTGTGTTGTGTGTGTGTGCGCACATTCTTTTTATGGTTTTTACCTTTTTATGATGAAAGAAAGAAAAATAGTACAAACGATTTTTAAACACATTAATGTTCCCTTTCTAATGTGAATAAGTTGACAAATGAATAAATTTGATATACAGTACTTAGCTTTTTTCCTAGTCAAGATTGAGAGCCTAACAATAAAATAAATGGAGACTGTAGGAATAAAATTAATGGAGACAAATATTTTGTGGAGCCTGCTTTTTTCCACTTCTTTAACCGTTTTCTTATTACGTGGTATCGTTACTAATGCCATCCACATTCTTTTCTTTACATCAAAAAGTCTCCACGGCTTCTACCATATGTATTTATGTGTCTGTGTGCATGTCATGTGGATGTATATTATGATGGAATCTTAAGATAAATCTTATGAAACACCATGACCTAATTATGTCATTATGCAAATTGTATTTGTGAACAGGAAGCAGTACTCTTGGATCTTCTTAGAGTCATTAGTCACCATTCGCACAGTTCAGAGAATGCGTCATGAGGCTGAAGTGGACAGCGCAGCATTTTCAGACATAGTTTACAATCAAGCAGCTATGAACCGTCGATTCATGCTGATTTGAACCGTCCTACAAAATCAATAACGATGACAACGGAAAGTCCTCACCAAACTCAGTGCAGAAAACTGAAGATAACGACCCTCAAGGAGAACCATCGGAAACCAAGGCTGAAACAGAAAACAACGGATCAGTATCAGTTTCAAACGCCAAAAAGGAGAAACTGAAAGTGGCTATTGGTTCCAACTCCACTACAGCATTAAGGGTTCACCAACCTCAACATCAGATCAGCCAGTAGAACACATCAGATCAACTCCACCACCATCCATATTTTGTGGACGGCTTCATTCCGAATAACCAATCATATATATCCACGTCTTCAATGCGCAATGGTACTAACCTGCAAGCAAATGGTATTGAGCGCACCGGTTTGTGCACAGGAAGAATATGAGCGACTCGGGTTGGTTAACTTCTTAAACTCTTCCACCACACCGGTTAAATCCAGTGCCGCCTTCATCGCAACAAATATAACCAAATTTTACTGTCTTAATAACTGCACAAATCCAATGTGTTGCCAATGTAAGGAACTAGTGTGATCTCAATAATTTAACAATAATAAAAAGCTACAAGAGACTGTTTGCTCAATCTGTATTTGTATGTCTCATCGGCTACTTTGCATCGGATACAGAAAAGTTGGACCATTCCAAGTATTTCGATTGACGGGCGGGCAAATTCTCGTTAATTGGTCATGTTCTAACCCAACGATCATTCACACTAACATTTCACAAATATGATTATATAAGTAGAAGACCAAGTAGAAATACACACAGATTTAACAGAAACAAGAGTATCAAATGTTAAAATTAAAGAGAAATAAAGAAACTACTTCAAAGATTAACATTAAAAGAAGACAAAAAAGTGAGGTCAGGTCCAGTAGTGAAAACATGATCCGAGCACTGGATGATCCCCCAAATTTGGCCTCCGTGGCGCCTCTCGAGTGAAATCTCTGCGCACCAAACCTGCAACCTCTTACGGGGATGATTTCCGACGAGCACGCCCCAGAAGACGAAAAGGTTGCCTCCGGATTTTATGAGTTGGGACCCCGGAACTAAGTCTTCGAGGCCGTATGGGTAACCGCGCTTGAGCAAATAGCTATCCCACAGATCCGCATTAACCCCATCGGAAAGGATCTGTTTCCCCATGTCTTGACTCTCGAAATCATCCTTGAGAAAACCTTCCAAATCTTCCAAACCGTTCACCTTGTACCACTCCATCCTCCCTTTCCTCACCCCACTCCAAGGGTCACACCACATGATTCTCCCTTTGGGATCACGACAGTATAACAATTTGTCTATGGCACAAGAAGCATCTCTTGTGTTTATTAAATCATTGCACATACCACCTTCACTCCCAAAGTTGTACAAGTAACTATCCCGCCCAACCACCTTGGGAGCATATGCCCAGTTCACCGCATCCGGGATAATCACGTTACTCCAAGTTTGCATCTTCGGGTCGAAAACCTCTGCCCAGTTTGAGGGGTCCCCGTCCCAGCAGCCACCCATCACGTATATCTTACCGTCTAAGACGCCTGCGCTGGCGGCAGCGCGAGCAACTCTCATGGAGGGGACCTGGCTCCACGTGTGAGTCCGACAATCCAGGAACGAGACACGCGATGTACTCTCGGCGCTTATACTTCCGCCAATTACATAGATCCGCGATCCCAGGGGGACAAAGGTAGCCCGGTTAGGAGTTGGGAACGGAGGCATCGGGATCCGGGTCAGCCGATTCTCCTCTCCTCTTCCTCGCCATCGGATGGTGAACCAGCCCACCGGGTTTCTGCTATAAGGAGCGAGTAAGCATATATAGATGCAGTCCTCCGTGAAACCCATTCGAGATCGCGTCTCGTACAAGTCCGGCGAAACCACCAGTGAGCGGCTGCTCTTTGAGACCTGGGATAAGGCCCTGTGGTCCGATCTTGACACGCGGGCCAAGCAGTTTAGAACCATGTCATCTGGCAAAGACATTAACCCACTTGTTGGAGACGGAGACGGAGACGGAGACACAACCCTCCTCCTCTTCTTTCTTCGCCACTGCTCTACCGCGCCGGACATCATTGGTTTTGTTCCTTATCTGTGTTACCCATAGAGAGAGAATGTTGAGAAAAGATCCTTCTTTATAAGATTTTCTGTTTTAGTCTAGAAACCAAATAAAAAGGAAAAGTTAAAAATATTTCCAAAACTAATAAGGGAAATTACTTTGTTAGACGGTCCAACCAAAATAATCCCATCGCCCCCGTTAAAGGGTTTAATAGCTGAAAAGCCATAAATGAAAAAAAATTGATCTATCCTGCCATAAATAAGTCTGAGTGCCATAAAGCACATGATATTCTGAAAATACCCTTAATGAAAAAGGGATATGGCATTGCTGATTTTTTGTTTGTTTTTTTATATCGAAAATCAAAAAAAATTTGAGACATGAAAATTCTAAAATTCTAATACCAAAACCGAATCTGGTTTCTCTGAATTTCTGGGTTAACATCTTAAACCGAAATCCGAAATCGAAAATCTTTTCCCAGAAATCGTCCGATCGAATCTCCGATCCGTCTTCGTTTATTATCGCTCGGCGCGGTGCGCCGGCCTTCTCTGAACCCATGGTGTTCGCCAAATCTCGTTGTAGAGCCGTCATTTGGTAATAAGGTAACTTCTTCTACAGTTTGGGGATTAGGGTTTAGTAATCGATTTGTCAATTCCGTTCGTTTTAGGTTGCACATTAGATAGTAGAGTGGCGTATATATGTCGATTTAGTCTTCTAAGTGTTAAAATTGAACTTGTTGCCGTTGAATCGAGCTGAATCGTAGGTTTGTATAGTGAATCAGTGAGATATGGGACAACTGATACAATTAGGTTAACTGAATGGAAAGGGACAACTGGTACAATTGGGTTAACTGAATGGAAAGGGACAACTGGTACAATTGGGGTAACTGAATGTAATGGGAAAACCTGTACAATTCGGGTAACTAAATGAAATGGGACAACTGGTACAACAGGGTTAACTGAATAGAATTGGACAACTGGTACAATTAGGATAACTGAGTTTAATTGGGTTAATTGAAAGGAATGGGACAACTGGGACAACTGGGACAATTGGGACAATTGGGACCCGGAATGTATTGGGACAACTGGTACAAATGGGATAACTGAGTTGAATTGGGTTAACTGAAAGGAATGGGACAACTGGGACAATTGGGACAATTGGGACCCGGAATGTATTGGGACAACTGGTACAATTGGGATAACTGATTGAGATAAGTGGGACAACTGGTACAATTGGTACAGTTGTGAGAAAATAGGAAATATTGTTATTCGTTAATGACTTAGTTTTTTTGGTTTTGTGAACAGAAGAGGATGAGCGGCCACACAAACATACATTTTGAGTATGGAGGATGTTATTATAAGGAAAGAGAGGAGTTTAAATGGATATCAAGAAGCTCCATCTATGCTATATCATTTAAAACCTCTTTGGATGAGGTAACATATCCGATGGTTGTAGATGGTATATGCAAGAAGATTGGGGTAAACGATAGTAAGAAGAAGCTCAAGTTAAGCTACATTCCGTTGGTAGCTAAGCCACTCAATGAGTCATGTATTGTTGATGATTGTGATGTGTATGTCTATCTAACAATTGTGGATAAAGAGGGACTTAGATCTGTATTGCATGTGGAGATAATGGAAGATTTGGAAAGAGATAAGATTCAAGAGTAATGGAATATTTTCATTATCTTGGATTTCTTGCAATATTATGTATTTTGGAGTAATTTGTAACCTAAAAATTAGGTGCAACCTAAAAATTTACGTCCAAACCCAGGCAAACTACGAACAACTAGGACAACTATTTGCAACTAGGACAAAAGAAGGCACACTAGTATAAAGTGGACAATTGGTACAATTGGGACAACTGTGAGAAACTAGGACAACAAGAACAACTACGACAACTATGACAATTTGGACAACTAGGACAACTAGGACAACTATGATAACCAGGACAAACTAATTTCTTTAAATTACTAAACATTAAACAAATACAGCCCTAAACCCTTAAATACTGTATACTCAACGACTACCACTAAACACTAAAATAAACCCATTATTTTCTGAAAATAAGATATACCATTTGTGTTTCTAATGAAATAACCCTTATGGTATAAGGCATTCTTTGACAATGGTTTCCATCTTATAAGAGGTTAAACGTAAAAATATGGGAAATACAAAAGTATGGGCGCGAAACCCTTGGGGCAAGTATAAAATGTTCAAGGGTTAAGGGGACAACTAAAAAAAGAATGTTCTTCTTAAAGGACAACTGAAAAAACTTAAAAATCGTCCAAAGGACAACTATGACAATTTTGGGACAACCGGACAACTAGGTACAACTATGATGTCAACAGAAAATGCACGTGTGAGAATGGCGGCTGAGGATAATATTATAAGTTATTTTCCTCTGTATTTGTCTTTTTTGGTTGTCGTTTACCGTTTTCTCTTTCATAGAAAAGGGTCAAAGGGTTCTTCTCCTCTTATTCTCTTTCCTAATTGTTGCCCCCAAATAGGTTTTTTAGGGTTTCCACCGCATAATGGATAAATATCAGATAGCCCTCGCGAAATTGGCTGAAAAGAAGAATGATGGCTCTTCTTCTGTCTTGCCTAAGAAGTATTACGAGATGACCACTAGATGGGGACCCGAAGTCAATGGAGTCAAGACCATTCTGCCATGCCCTGTACAAAAGGGAATTCCAAAGGTTTGTTATTGCGGCTTAGCTCCAATTGGGTGTTTAACTGACAACTCCGGGCTTGACAGGGGCCGGAAATATTACGGTTGCTTCTACGGCTGTTGTGGCCCAAAAAATTTCCCAGAAGTAAGTCAATTGGGTTTTCAATTTTGATTTATAATTTGAGTCTCATCTGAATTTCTGAGTTTCGGGATTTCAGGTTCCCAGTTGTGGCTTCAAGAAATGGTGGGATCTCGCAATACTCGAAGAAATTGAAATGTTGAATGATACTCAAGAAGCCATGCGGGCTTTGTTTGACACCGTTTTCTCCAAGTTAAATCAGTTAGAGTCAAAGGTGGCATCCATTGAAGAAGCTATAAAAAAGCGTTAAGGATGAAGAAGATGAGCTTTTCAGTTTCTTATTGACCTTTTTTCCCCTTGTTATGTTGCTACTCTCCTTTGATTTATTTTGAACTATTTCTCCTAAATAAAACAACGCAGTTGTACCAGTTGTCCTAATATATCGCATTAAGTTATACGAGTTGTCCTAAATAAAACAAGGAAGTTGTACGAGTTGTCCTAAATAAAACAAGGAAATTGTACCAGTTGTCCTAAACCCTAAACAGAAAACATAAGATTGTACCACAAAGAAAAACACATAATCTTAAACATAAACAAGACATTTTACTTCTTGGCTTCATGTGGTTGGGCTCCTTGAACATGTGAAAAACCCTGGCTGTACTCGGTTGGACCGAAGTAAAGCTTCTCAGGCACCATCAGTTGACTACCATCATCGGCATCCTGAGATAAAAACAAGAAACACAATCATATGAGATTTAGTTGTCCCAGTTATCCCAGTTGTCCAAATGCCAAACGTAATTTTGTGCAAATAGTTGTCCTAGTTGTCCCAGTTGTCCGTACCGGCTGGTTCTGCTTCCTTCAATGGTTCTTCTTCACCCCGAATTTCTTCGTGGGTTGTTTCTTCATCATTCGCCAGAGGGTTTGGTGTTATTCCGGGTTCTTTATCTTTCATATCTGCTTCTTCGCTGCGCTTGGGTACAGATTCGTTCGAATCATATACCACGCCCTTAAGTCGAATTTTAGCTATCTAGTTAGGCTGGATTTAGGGTTTGTCTTGATGAAGTTAGAAGGCTAAATTATGTAATATATAGTACGGGAATTGAAGAAAGGGAAGTTGAAGAAGAAGCAGTTACAAAATCAAGTGTCGTTTCAAGTTAAAGGGGAAATTGCAGAATTTTCGAAAGAAAGAAGGAAGTGGAGATAGCCGTTCGGGGAAGATGAAGAGAGAAAGAGGAGATCGTATTTGATTTTGGGTAAGTTTATCGAATGTGTTTGGTTTTGGAAATTAAATCCATTCGGTTCGGTTTTGTTTACCTAATTTTCGGTTTAATAATTTCAATTTTTTATTTCTGATTTTAAATTGATAAAGTTTTTTTTTTTAACAAAAATTCCATTTTTTCTGGGTATTCGGGTCGGACATAAATCGGGTGGGTATTACCTTGGTATTTTTATAATAAAAGAGATACATAGGGAGAAGGGTATAATTTACCTGGTTTTTGCTAATAAAATTAATTCATAAAGAAATTAATTTTTAAAGATATGGTTTATCAGCCAATTTTTTGGTCTCTTATGGCTTTTCAGCCGCGCGCTCCCGTTAAAGTCTCCGCCAAAAATTTTAAATAAATATCTTCTTTTCTTCTGACTATATTCAACATTTAAGCTTTTCGCCATTGTTTCTAATTTTCATTGCGTTTATTATGCAGCTTGGGAATAATGAAGACAAGAAAACACAGGCTATCAATTTTGAAAGATATTAGTGGGATTATTAAACCTGAGAGGTGAATAAAACATTGTTTATATTACATGGTCACAAAGCACTAATAGTTTCTATATTTTTCTATTCTTCAATGATGAATCCATGATCAATTTATTTATTTTTATTGTTTTGATTTTTTAATTTTTTTTATTCCCAATTCTCTGAGTTTACAATTGCTAAACGAAACGAACCTCAATCTCCAAAGTTTCAAATCCTTTTTCAGTGATCGATTACAGAAACTGAGAATGATTTTTTTCAATTTCTAGAGTTTCTGACCTAAGCGTCTCATCGATTTAGTCTTTTGAATCATTTGAAATCAATTTCCATTCCATCTCAAACACACATATCTAACATTGAGAGAAGCAACAGTAAAGGTTCGTTCGGTAGACAGAGTTTGGAGATATGAATCTGCAGGTAAGGAGTCAATGAAGTATTAAGGACCGTAATTGAGGTAAGGATCTATGTTTTACTTTCTGGTTTTCAATTTAACACTTAAGAATGAGTAATGCGTAATGACCTTAATGACTAATGACCTTACTCGTTGTTTCTTTATCTTCTTTATTTTTGTTG